CTTTCTAAGGATAGTGTTTATAAGCCTTGTAATGAGACAGCCCTCCGAGACCTTACCTCTTCTTGCCTGTGATTTTGATGAATGAAGCTCTGATTCATAAAGGATATTGTGATTGAAAACCACTCTGCATCTCATGCACTTTAATTGAGATAAATGTTGGCCTCAGTGCCATGGAGTCAGGACGTCCCCGGGCTGCACACCGGTAACGCTGCGCAGGGGTGAGTGCCTGAGTGTGCGGGCGCATGCACCACCTGCTGCGTGTTTCCAGGGACGTACTTGTTCTACTGCTTTGAAGCTAGAGGGAATAAAAGTAAACGCTTAATACACATTCCAGAACTCATCTTCATTTTTTTTATTTTATTTTTTTTATCCTCACCCAAGGACATTTTTTTCATTTTTTTTGAAATTTTGTTCAGATAGAGTGGGAGGGAGGGAGGGAGAGAGAGAGAGAAAGAGAGAGGGAAAGAAAGAAACATCAATTATGAAAGTGACACATCGAGTGGTCGCCACCCACACAACCCAACCAGGGCCGGGGACAAATTGCAACCAAGGTACATGCCCTTAGCGGGAACCGAACCGAGTCCCTCCAGAGCGCAGGCCAAGGCTCTAACCGCTGAGCCAAACCGGCCAGGGCTCATCTTCATTTTTATTGGCAGGTTTTAATTTTTTTTTTTTTTTTTATCCTCACCCGAGGACATTTTTCCATTTTTTGCACAGATAGAGTGAGAGGGAGAGAGAGGAAGAGGAGAGAGAGAAACATCGCCGTGAAAGGGACACATCGAGTGGCTGCCACCCGCACGACCAACCAGGGCCGGGGACAAACTGCAACCGAGGTACATGCCCTTAGCGGGAACCGAACCCGGGTCTCTCCGGACCGCAGGCCGATGCTCTAACCGCTGAGCCAAACCGGCCAGGGCGGCAGGTTTTAATTTTAATAACAAGAGTTATGTAATGCTTTTTTTTTTTTTTTTAATCACAAAGATTACACACGGTTGTGATACAAGGAAAACTTGCTTCATTAGGCTGACTCGCATATAAAGGGCTTTATTGACTATTTCAAGTAAAGAAACAAATTCCTGTCTGTGTAAATACACAGATTCTTGCATTTTCCCCCAGTCTGAAGGCAAATCACCCGGATCTCTGCCCTGTCCTGGGATCCTCAGGTTGAGAAACGTCCTTAAGGGCCCTCGGTCTCGTGGACCGGCGCACCCCGACGGGAGCCGAGACAGCCCGCCCCACGCAGGCGGCAGGCGCAGCCTCGGGGGCTCCCGGCTGTGGACACGCGCGACCGAGGCACAGAGCACGGCACGGGGCCTGGGCGGCGGGACGGGAGCTTCGGTCCGATGCCCGGCACCGCCCAGAGCCTCTGCGCACAGCGCACTGGGCCCAGAGAAGCCACAACCGCGCAGAGTCTCCGCGTCCACGTGAACACTCGGGACTCTGTGCGGACCGCCCAGGCTGTGATTGAAGCCACGTGTCACTTGGCAGAAGCCCTGGAGGCGGCGGTGGGTGTGCCCAGACCACGCAGGGGGCTGCAGGCGGGTGGGCGCCCCCAAAGAGCGCCGCGTGTCCCTGCGCGTGCCCAGAAGCGCAGACGGCAAGGCGGATTCCGGGTGCGGGTGCCCGGTCACTGGGCACAGGCCGGTGAGCGCAGCGCCCAAGTGCCACGCGGAGCTCGCAGCTCGTGGGCGGGCTCACGCGGGCACAGCGCCCCCTGCCACTGGGGGTCCTGCCGGGGCCACGCACGGGACCGAGAGACCCCAGGAGGAACGGGAAACAAACCTGTGGCCTCGGAGGAAATTCAACACAAAACCACCGCTAATACATGTGAGACGAGCAGAGGGGGCCTGGCTGGCGGGGCTCAGAGGCCGGGCGGCGGCATCGGCCCACAGTGACCACGGTGACCGACAAACAGCCCAGGGCAGCTGCCAGGCCGGGGCGCGGTGGGGAGAGGCGCCCGGGGAGGTGCGCTCGCAGGCCAGCAGGAATCCCCGAGGAGGGGGGGAAGCACGCCCCACGCAGGGCCTCCAGCACGGACGAAGGGCGGGAAGGAAGGCGTGTTCTGGACGCTGGAAGCGGCCCAGTGTTGCCGATGGGAACGGAGGCCTCGAGCCGCCAGCCGTGCTGAGCAGCCGCCACCCTAAAGGCGCAGTCTCCGCGCGCAGTGCTGTGGCCCGGGAGTCACCAAGCAGCGTGAAGTGGGACCATGTCCTCCGCCTGCTGGAGTCACCAAGCGGCGTGATGTGGGACCATGTCCTCCGCCTGCTGGAGTCACCCAGCGGCGTGAAGTGGGACCATGTCCTCCGCCTGCTGGAGTCACCAAGCGCGTGAAGTGGGACCATGTCCTCCGCCTGCTGGTGCGTTATGGTGATGACACGGAGCCGGCCCGGGTGCTCAGTGGCTGAGCGTGGACCCTGCACCACGAGGTCGCCAGTTCGATTCCGGTCAGGACACATGCCCAGGTAGTGGGCCCATCCCTAGTGGGGGGCCTGCAGGAGGCGGCCAGTCGATGTTCTCTCTCATCCATGTTTCTATCTCTCGCTCCCTCTCCCTACCTCTCTCTCTAAAATCAATAAAGGAAAAAAAAAAACCTTAAAATTTAAAAAATAGCAGTAATCCCAGGACAGAAGCGGGGGTGGGGGTTGTGATCAGGGCCGGGGGAGACCTCCAGGCCAGGCCGCGGGGCCAGCTGCAGGGTGCATCTCGGGCTGAGGATTGACCAGGACAGGCGGAGGTGGCGGAGCAGGAGCTGCTTGTTGGGGTAGGGAAGCGGGGTTAGGCACATCCGAAGACGTCTAGGACCACAGGGCCCCGGAACCGCAGGAGAGCCTTCTCCGCTGGCAGTGCTGGGTTTGCCCCGTGCTGCTCAGACGATGCCAGCCCCGGTTTCTCACATAGAGTTCCCACCCAAGCAGCAAGTGCGTTATGAAGATAGCTGCACCCAGAAGGTTACCGTTGTGCTGGCTAGATAGCAAGCAAACCAAATAAAATTAAGAGAAGGCTCTGGACCATTCAGTAGTCAACCCTCAATTTTTATTCCAGAAATAAGGACTGTGTGGGGGCCAGTGAAAGAAGAATGCACACGTGACCATCTAAGTCCCTGCCTCCCGCGTCGTATTGGTTTACAGTGACACGTTTGTCTCTGAAGTGTTCATCAAAATACACACTTAACAATCTGTTGCTTCGCTGTTAAGCATATTTCAGCCGGCTCCCTAACACTGCCCTGTGAGAGCACAGGTGGCAGACGGTGCCTCTCGGCCAGTGACAGTCTGCAGGCTATGGTGACATGCCTGTGTTCCTCAACACGTGGGTTTTACTCTGCTGTGCGCTGCCTTTGGGTCCACGGATCGGTGTTTTCACAAACAGAATCGGCTCTGCGTCGCTGACGGGGAAAATGTGCAAGCCGGGCCAGCGTGGCTCGTGGCTGGGTCACCCGTGGACCTGGCCAGCGTGGCTCGTGGCTGGGTCACCCGTGGACCTGGCCGGCGTGGCTCTTGGCTGGATCACCTGTGGACCGGGCCAGCGTGACTCGTGGCTGGGTCACCCGTGGACCGGGCCGACGTGGCTCGTGGCTGGGTCACCCGTGGACCTGGCCAGCGTGGCTCGTGGCTGGGTCACCCGTGGACTGCAGGTTGCCTTTAGGCTTGGTCAGGGCGCGTGATGGGCCTCTGGTTTGATCCCCAGGGGGCAGTGTTTCTCACCGACGTTTCTGTCTCCCTCTCTCTCCCTTCCTCTCTGAATCAGTACAAATGTGGTTTATAAAGAGTGTGCACGCCGCAGAGGAGAGGCTCACCCCGCCTCCATGCAGGTCTCCCCGCGGCTCGTGCACGTCCAGGAAAGGTGGCCAGACATCCTCAGGTAGCAATGGGCTGGAGGAAGTCCTGTCGGGCCCGGGAGAACTGGCCCAAGCACTGTTGGTTGTTCAGCGGAGAGAAGTTTGGCCTAAGGTACAACAAGACTTGGAGAGGAACTGCATGTGTACATAACATCAGAACACCCCCTAGAACCAGCCGCACCAGATGGGAGTGGTTCACTAAGCGTCCGTCTTCAGGAACATGTGCACTCAGTGAACCGTGACAGTGTTTCCCCATTAGTGCTGCTCATCATAGCCGACACCCGAACCCTGCAGCTCGGACACACTCAGTCACACCACGTTCCTCCGGGTTGACCTCCAGCTCCGAGTGACATGGAATAGAGCTATCTCATGTGTGTACATATAGACATCGATATCTAACTCACTTGCTGTTCAGGTAGTCTTAGATTCACTGTCACCCACCTAAGCAGGTGTTTGAATGTTAATAATGAAATATTTGCTAAGCAGTCAAATCCATGAGAGATTCAAATGCATTTTAGGTTTTAACCTTCATATTGATTGACCTGTTAATGCTACGTCAACGTTTGCTATATTTGCATTTTTCTGACTTGTTTTTGTGTGTTTGGATTTTGGCCTTTTGTGCTAGTTTATGTGACGAAATCAGGATAGCACTCTAGAAAACCAATATCTGTGTGTGAAGTGACGGAAGTGGCTGTCGTGAAGGACGTCTCAGTCTGATCATTCCTGACTCCCCCTTTCCGTGGCTTCCCGATAACAGCCACAGCTCCCTGCACAGGCCAATGCTTGTTTTCTTCATACCTATTCGTTTTGAAAAACGATCTGAACAATTGATTCTCCAAATCACACAAAGGTATAATTGTGTAAAATTGTGTGATTTTTGTGGTTCATAAAACCCAGAAGCCACTGTCTCCCACCACCCATGTGCTAGGTCTCTCTGCAGACACATGGCTTTGTCAGCTGTTTCCTCATCTCTAGACAAAGGCGAGGTGACCACACCCGTCTTTCTCACACCCACTTAGGGGGCCAACCAAGATCAAGGCGGTAAAGACGTGTGGTCCTGGGTGGTGTGTCAATGCCGCATGTCGCTATGGAAGGGTGATAGGCTGTGTGATGCTCGCTGAAAGCAAAGCTGTCGCCGTGACTGAAGTACTGTTTGGTCTGCCAGGCTCCGAGGACGACGTGGTGAAGTCCAAGAGAACCTTCCGGAGCCAGGCGATGATGAACCAGAACGCGGAGACCGAGCTGATGCTGGAAGGGGACGACGACGCGGTCAGCCTGCTTCAGGAGAAGGAGATCGACAACCTTGCAGGTACGTGCCTACGTGTTTTCCTTCTGTTTGTTACAAGGAGTAGTCACGAGGTTTCCGAGTTTAAATCGATCTCCTGGTGAGTAAGTGCCCCTGGTGGGAATGATGCTCAGTCATGTGAGTGTTAATAATTTATCTCCTTTCTGATGCTAAAGAGAGGAAAATACATATTTTACTAACAATAAATGAATAGCATCTACTTTCTGGGTAACACAGAGCAAGTTGTTAATGTAAGAGAAATAAGGTAGAGCACACATTTTCCCATCTAACTGCCTAAATAATGAGGAGGAACAGGATGGTAGACTTACATTTGACTCTGTATGACTTGCCTGTGACCCTAACATGGTAACTGCTCTGAGGAATGGCCGGTTCAACCCGGCGATCACTGAATCCGGCATTCCCTCTCCCCCCTTCCCCACCCCCCCCGCCGCTGGCCACCCTCAGCTTCCACTTGTCCGATACATGAGCAGAGCATCCTCCGGGTCCGATGGGGTCTGGGTACCCACAGTGTTGGCCCACAGCGGCTCCCGACAGCAGCTTGCTTCAGAAAGGTGCATACACAAGTATGTACACAGTTTCAGAGGGTTCACTGACCCCTGAAAGTATATTCCAGATCAAAGTAAAAACTTGTGCTTTAGAGTCTCAAACAGTGGCTGAGTCTTACCTCACTTCTGTATTGTCAGCCCATACGACATTGGGGTGACTTATAGTCGTCATTCTTTTACACAGTAGTAGTCCTGTTCCCAGAGGTGTGCTGGCAGGCCCCCGAAAGCCTCCAGCGATGCTCCTACAGCCGGAGACTTCGCCTCTTACTGAAGAGATGATGTCACTGGTCACTGTGAGCGGGAGATGGCACGTTAGTCTCCCTCTTCTAGAAAAGGTGCAATAAGGTCATTCTAATACCAATTCCTGGGTTTTCTGTGTTATTAACATTTCTGTATCATGACACCTATTTTTTCCTATTTAAAACAAATGGAATTCCTAAGTAAATGTTCACGTTGGTTTTATAGTTTTGTGATTTGTTTTAATAGTTCAGAGATTTTATCTGAGGCCATTTGGAAATTTAAGCAAACGAAGGCCGGCATTCCTTTCGCCCACGGACTGGTTTGCTCTTTTCCTGGTCTTCCTGACCCTGAAGCACTAGAGACAGTCCACACACGCGATTCCTGATCTTTTCAGGCGGTGTGTTGCGTTTCTTTATTCACACATGTTCAGTATTTTCAATAATTAGTTAAGACTCTCTGTCAGTTCCCACTGAACGTAATTAATTACTTGGTAAAAATTTGGCTAATACCTTCTTAGAGTAAGATCTGCCCAGTAATACTAGAGGCGAAATCCAATAAAGACTAATAACTCCTTTATTTTTCTCTCTGCAAATGGTAACTAGAGTCATTATGAACATTAATTTATGCTTTTAAACAAAATTCCCCAAATAACATTAAGTTAAAAATACCTAAAGAACACAGTGTGCTTGAAATAAATTATTTAAAATCTGAATCTGGACCAGTTCACTCCGTCAAGGCTCCTCTGGCGTCTATAAATTTTAAACGGGTTTGTCTTTGTGCAGGTCTGGTCCTGTTCACGTCCACCTGCTCCTAACTCACGCTGTCTTTTGGAATCCTTGTGTCTGAAAAGTCTTCCCAGCTGTCCTAGGATATTAACTCCCCACCTCGTCACAGTGCCCGTGGTTAAAGCAGCAGTCTGCGCTGTGACCCTGACCTGTGAGCGCAGTTCACAAGTAGGGGTGCCGTGCCACAAAGGGGGGCAGGCAGCGTCTGAGGACGCGCAGCCCCAGCCTGTGAGCCAGGAGCCTGTGCTCATCGGCCGGGGCAGGGGGGAGCCACGTCACATAGAAATCATTCCTAGACGTTAATGACAAACCAGTATTCTTAGGTTTAGAAAAATCAGCTGATAATTGTTTTAAGTCCCAGAAATTAAAATTTGTTAAACAGTACCTTTCTTATTTCTTTTCTTTTTTTTGTACGTGCCCCTAGCGGGAACCGAACCCGGACTCTCTGGTCCGCAGGCCAACGCTCCAACCGCTGAGCCAAACCGGCCAGGGCAGCCTTTCTTATTTCTAACTTATCACTGTAAATAGGCTGATGTCGCTAAACTGCCTGAAGAAAGTGTGGCCATCACTGGAGATCTAACTCCAGCTAAAGTCCAGGAGGTCACAAAATATGGTCAGAATTCATCATCACAACAGAAAAAATAAGGGAAATTACCAGCTTAGTGAAGATTAATTCTGGGGTTTTGGGTTCAAAAGATGGGATCAATTTCTGATTACAGAAACTAAAAGAAAGAAAAAACATTAGCCAGCGTGTCTTCCTAGGAACCAGACAGTGTCTCAAGGTTTTGATGGGCAGCCACTTATTAAATAATCACAACGTTGTACATGGATGCTATTGTTACCCCAATTTTACAAATGAGGATGTAGGATAAGAAGTATGTGGTTTGAACTAAAATACACTGAATAGTGTAGTTAAATATGTGTCTGTATACACTTCAAGACTCTTCTAAAATGATGTAAAAAACAAGATCCTCGGTTGATAACAACTCTTACACTGGCTTGTTATATTATACTTAGAATTCTGTGAATGTGCAAAATACTTTATTTTAGTTTTACATATGTGCTCCCCAAAATTATTCTGGCAAGTTCAAAAATGCGAGAGCATATCTGTGGCACAGTTTTATTCACGCGTGGGCCCTCTCACAAGTTCTCTCCACGTGCTTGGAGTTTTCTAGCTGTAAGAAGACAGAATAGTCCACAGTGTCCTGCAGATGCAAGTGTCACACGATTTCCGTTTCCCCGCCGTCCCCTTCCTGCCCAACCTGCTCCTCTCGAGAGGCGGGTTCAGGGTGTGGCCGAAGTGCTCAGCGTCCTACGTATTGTAACCAGTGGCTAACGCCATGCCGTGAAAGTATGAGGATCAATTAGGTAATTATTAACAACATCTAACTTAGTTTGTTGTAATAGCTTTTTCAGTTTGTGGTGATTCAGCAAAGTGAATTAGGACCGAAGTTTCCTCACATCACTAAAACTGTGAACTTACTATATTATATTTATTACTTAAAATAGTCTATTACTTAAAACATTGAAATTAGTATAGTTCACCTGATTTTAATCCAAATTCTCAATTTATTTGAAACTTAAATCAGCTTTATAAACTATATTTTTTGTTTATATATATGTAAGCTGTTACTTCCAATCCTCCACTGATCTATTTAATGTTAAGTAACTTGAAAGGTTTTTTACAGGCCTATGTCAGTGTCCATTCTTTCCCCTAAGATGGCACACGTGTCTGTTCTGTGCCCTTTCTTATCTCCCCTATCAAAATCTCGGCTCAGCTTTAAGAGCTGTTTAACTTCACGAAGCGTTCTTGGTCAACCTTGTCACCCCATAATATCTTTTGGTAACAACTTTATTGAGATATAATTCACATACCATACAATTGACCCATATAAAGTGCACAATTTAATGCTTTTTTAGTATATTCACTGAGTTATGCAACTATTACCAGAATTTTAGAACATTTTATTACCCCAGAAGGAAACCTTATAGTCTTGGGCTACTCCCCTCAATTTCCCCGTTCCCCGTCCACAAGCCTTGGAGCACCACTGACGTACTTTCTGTCTCCATAAATTTGCCTGTTTGGTACATTTCATATAAATGTAGCCTTGTCATAATATGTAGTCTTTTGTGACTGGCTTATTTTACTTAGCATAGTGTTTTCAAGGTTCATCCATGTTATAGCATGTGTGTCCTTTTTATAGCAAATAAAATTTCATTATATGGATATACCACATTTTGTTTATCCGTTCATTAGTTGATGGACATTTAGTTTGTTTTCACCTTTTGGCAATTGCGATTAATGCTGCCATGACTGTCCATGTACAATACTTCATGTAAACATGTATTTTTATTTCTCAAATATATACCTACATGTGGAATTGCTGGGTCAAATAAAAGCTTGACATTGCCCTTTTTGATGGACCGCTAGACCATTCTCCAAAGCCTCCTCTGTGTTCCCGTCAGCCGTGTACGAGGCTGCGTTTGTCCACATTCTTCACCCGTGAAGACTTGATTATATCATTCTTGAGACACTTTGAAGCTTTGGAGATGCTTTTCCGTATGTTTTCTCTCTTCTTTTAGACTGTGAATTCCTTAAGGGTAGTGACCATATCAGCTATACCTTTGACCACGAGAAAATCTTCTAACATGATTACTTGCCCTTAGAAGGTTTTCATTGACAAGGTTCATGTAGGTGCAGTAAACTGTAGAGCAGAGATAATTATCTAGTTCATTTACACCAAAAACAAAAGACAAATCAAAACTTATTTTGAGAAGCTCTTGTTGATGACATTTGAATAAGATCTCGAGTTGGTAGTATTGTACAAACGAGAATTTTCTGGTTTGTGAATGTTAACTTTCAGTGGAGGCTGGGTCAGAGATAGAAAGAAACTCTTGTATGATTTTTTGTTTTCAACTTTTCTGTAAATTTAAAATTAGTTCAAACTAAAAGGTAAGAAACAAACAAACAAACAAAAAACACCTTTTTTTGAGCTTGAATTATCAGGTCAAAATTTATTCATAGCAGTTGAAACATTTCAGATAATCACTGCGCTCGCCCCTGACTCTCCCCGGTGACAGGCCGAAGCCAGCCCTTGTCGGGCCCCATCCTCGGGCTCTGTCGTTCTGGCGGATGTCTCTTACAGCCAGGACACATCATGACTCACCACAGAGCCGCTTCTCTGTGCATGGGAAAGACACTTCATTATTCCAGAAGCAGGAGACGTTAAGTATTTCAAACAAGTGTTACTATAAGGGGACTAGCAACATGGGGAAGAATTGGTAGAATATAAGAGCTGATTTTTTTATGTAGGTTTTTCAAAGTGGCAGATTTATAACCTCTCTCTCTCTCTCTCTCTCTCTCTCTCTTTCTCTCTCTCTCTCCCCCCCAAGTCAGGAATCTGAAACTCAGAAAAAAATGCATTATGCAGAT